CCCTCTTCAAATATGGGGTCTATCGTAAAACCGTTGGCTGGCGCAGTGTAGGTCAGATTCATCTACAGCCCTGCCATATTTCATGTTGATTGGTGCAGCGGTTTTTGTGCTAYGGTTGACCAAAAATCACTGGGAAAAAAAACAGTACGAAAACAATATGACTCCCGCTTACCCCCAATTTACATTGCTTGCGTTCCTTYTCCGCACCRCTCCGGTCCGACCTCCRCAGCAAATACGCACCCATTATAATCAATGAGAGTGTTTACACTGGCTGCACAMGGCGGMGGTGAGCGGACGGCGATCCRTCAAAATTAGAACAGATCCTATTTTTGCCGGATGCAGGAGCAGCGCCGGAGTCAATTTTTAAATATTACGCCGCACCAACAGGAAAAGACACGAGCACAACATCCGTATTTTCAAAATAAGACACTATTCGGTGGAATAATTTGTCGGAATAATATCGAAATTGCGGCTATATTAATAAATATATGGATATATTTATACACAAATGCTGTCAGAATGTATTGTTCTGTTTGGGAAGCAGATGGAAACATAGCATGAAGCATGTGTACACACACGATACACGTGGATTTTATTTTGAAATCAGAAGTTTCAGAAAGCCGACAGCGAGACAGTTTCAACATAGATACAAGAAGCCTTTATATCATTGTTTTCAGCTGTGTTTGGAGTTTGTCTTTGACAGAATTAATTATTTTTTGCTGTGACTTCCACACTTATCACTGAATTTATCACGCGATCTCCTCTGTTGGACCGGAGCGGAGCAGAGGTAGTGTAAACTGGACTTGAAACGCACAGCTGCGACCTGCGCAGCGGAGCAGAGACGCATGCAGTATAAATCCGGGGTTACACTTGGCGTGCGGGAGTCATAATAAAACGGAGGCCTCACTTTTAAAACCCTGTTTTAAAATTAAGGTAGAACCAGACCTCCTCGTGGGTCATTTTGACTCATGGGCAGCAGATGGGTTAAATGGGTAAACTACAGCACAAACCAAAAGCCCTCATTACATTCACTATGATTTAATAGCAATCACTTAAAGCACAACATCTATGTGTGTGTCTGTGTGTGTGTGGTGGGGGGTTGTTTCTGGTATCATTTGGGGGCAATTTTAAGACAAAACACCTACATTTGGGGACAAAAGTCGAGTCCCCATTTGGTTTAAATGCCACTGGTGGGTTGGGGGTTGGACCAAGGTGTGAATTGAGTTTAGGTTAGTTTTAGGGTCAGCTAGGTACCTGTGAGGTTAGTTTTAGGGTCAGGTAGGTACCTGTGAGGTTAGTTTAGGGTCAGGTAGGTACCTGTGAGGTTAGCCTTAGGGTCAGGTAGGTACCTGTGAGGTTAGCCTTAGGGTCAGGTAGGTACCTGTGAGGTTAGCCTTAGGGTTTGTGGTCAGGGTTAGGCTGTAGAAATGTAATGGAAGTCAATGGAATGACCCCAAATGGATAGTTGTGCAAACTTGTGTGTGTGTGTGTGTGTGTGTGTGTGTGTGTGTGTGTGTGTGTGTGTGTGTGTGTGTGT